TAACATAACCAAGTCCACATATTATCATGGGCACAATTTGCCTGCAATCTTCATAACATTCTTTGAAATTTACATCTTAGACAATGGATGAAACTGAAAGACATGCCACATATGTTAGCAAGAGCAAAGGCAAAGTGGAAAACGGAAGTAGCCAAATTAAAATGATGTTCCCCACTGAAGCAATTGTTTTATTTAATATATAAGGCTCATAAGAATTGATAATTATATAGCAACCCATGACCGGAAACATCAGAGATTAGTGGTAGTAGAGGTAGAAGATCGGAAAGGACACAAAAGAATTATTAATTTGAAATCTTTATTGGGCATGTGGAGTGCAAATGACGTATTCGTTGAATATAGCTTTAATGTTGCAGCAGATGCTCATGCTCAAAGTTTTCACCATCAGATGCCAAACATGCCTGACACCGACAGAACATTGATTGCCATACATGGTCGAATACTCTGGGAGTTTCTGTTATTGAAGCAGCAGCACAGACAAGTCTTGCAACGAAATCCATTTCAGACTCCCCAGGATCGTGATACACATTAGCTTTGAGGGTTCCCCACAGAAAGAAATCAAAGCTCAATAAATTAAGTGAATGTATAGGCCAGGGAACCGCTTTGCCACGCTCTCTTCATCGATGCGGGAACAACCTGTTCAAATGCATGCAAACAGCCAGTCCAAAATGAGCAGGCTCCTCATTGTGTTGAAACCACATGTTGCACCTCACATTTGCTGGAACATCTTCAAGTAAGCAGGGAAGAACCTGCTTCAGAAAGCTCTAATAATTCAAGCCATCATACAGGATGGTAAAAGATACGGCCTGACTGAGCAGTCAGCAACCAAACTTGTCCATACATTTAACTGGGAAACAATGTTGCATACCATGGGAGCTCTTTTGAGCCTCCATATGCACATTGTGCTATTAAATATGCCATCCCTTTCGAATGTGGCCTCATCAGTGAACAACACATAAGCTGGGAAATTCACATCTCAGACGCGTTGTTGTAGATACCACTGTATACACTTGCAGGATGTTCATCGGGAAACAACTGAAGCTTTGGAGATGAAAGATGTGTAAGGACTCAGTGTTCAAAATACGTTGTATACTGCAACAAGGCACTCTTAAGGCTGAGTCAATGGCATGAAGTATATTGATGTTAGGAATTAGCCTTCACAGCATTCAATATTATTTCTTCCGTAACGAGATTGAACACATCAGTTGGGATCTACTGTCACTAGTCCTGCTACCTTTTAAGGACTCATACTCGCACCAATTTCGATACACACGTGCAAACACATTGGTGAGGTTGATGTTTATCTGGGAAGCATTCTCGATAAATTCATTCAGCAGCCTCTCCATTGCCCTCAGTTCTTCCATATTCCATATTTGTGAGCTCACCGTTTCTACTGTTGCATGCTCATTATATGCTGGCTACCGCTTTCTAGAAGGTGGTGAGCATCATCATCAATGATGTTTCAGTCAGGTCATGGGTTGCTATGTATATCTCAATCCTTACGATGTGCCCTACCTCTCCTAAAAGTTTTTAGCTACATTTTCGAGACACCTTGTCTATGTGATGATTTGGGAATGACACAGATAGATGTTTAAGCATCTTAGTACATCTGGAATGACGAAGAAACTTAGAAGTCATATAAATGCAATTCTAGTAGATTTAAATCATATTTTTTTAATAGTGGTTAAACATTTTGCAGCCACAAATACTTGGCACAGTAATCGTGTCTGTTCCAGGACAGTTATATGTTTGATTTTGTTCTGAAAGCAGCAAAAATCTATCTTAGCGAGAACACACGTAGAAGCAAAGTGCATAGTTATTTCATTATGGAAGCTTATTAAGAGAAAGTATTTCAGTTTGAGTTCCGAATTAGCTAAGTTACGAGCATTGTGTATATCATGTGTGGATTGATCTCAAAGTGACTCAGTTTAGAAAAAGTTTTTACTGTTTTTAGAAGATAGAGGGGAAATACCCAAATTAAAGTTAAGCATTAAGGGGCTATGACTAATTTAAACTATAATTTGTATTTACCTATTTTTATCTTTCACATATATATTTATCCTTTGTCTTTTAATATGCTTTTTTTTATTATACATTTTTTATTATATATTTTTTTATTTATAACATACACTTTCTTCTATGTTGTTGCGGCAAACTGTATGTTTTCTCAACTACTTTGGTGTTCATTTTTCATTATCTAGAAAATAAGACGAGACAACTGAAAGTACCCTAGCTTCTAGAAATCCTAAATATAAATGCTTTCTTTCAAAAATTTGCCATATTTAAAGTAGCTACATGTTAATATGCATACATGCATTTGAGAAATGTGGTTATGGAGATTTTTTTTAATGTTCAATATGAACATATATGTTTCCATTATCAGACCTGTTAAAATAAAGATGCTTATAAAAGTAGTCATTAAGCTGTAAGAAGAATATCTAACATTTTATATGGCTCCTGTAAAAGAAAAATTTTCATTTATAAAATATATATGAAGATTTATCTAGTTGAAATAACTGTATGATCAAAATTTTCAGAGATATTTCAGAATAAATTAATGATTTATGCTTATTACAAAGACTAAGTTTTAGGAGCAGCTACAGAATAAAAATTTATTGTTTTGTTGATTGATGACATTTTCTTGAGTAAATTATCGCTCATCATTTAATTTGAAACTGCATGCCTTATTTTCAGGGAAAATTTTAATTATATCTGTGTGAATATTGTGCATTAGAACTTTGTGTTTTCTTTATGGAGACTAATGAACACAGGGAAATCTCAATTCACAAATGTAGTTTGTTTGTGATGACTACGTAGACCCAGAGTCAGAGGCGGAGCTAGAGTTTCTAGTGCTCGGGGACAACTGAAGAATTTGCGCTCCTTTCTGTGTGTTAAGAATGGAAAACATTTCATTAAAAAATTTCGTAGCATCAATTTGGCGCCCTTTGGATGTTGCGCCCGGGGACAGATCCCCCCTTGCCCCACCCTAGCTACGCCACTGTCCAGAGTGCTTGTAAGCTGAAACTATTTTCATTATAGAAATTAATGTAAAGAGAATTAATCAGTTCTTATACCTAGATTATTACTTCGCAAACTTTTATAAATGTACTTCGTGTGCAGGTTCATAATACAGAATCAATGGAAATCATTAAATCTATTTCTTATTTTTAAGATAACCACGATATTAAACAAATAAAAGTTGTGAAAACTTAATTTTAGCGTGATTGTGCAAAGGAGAGTTAATGCCATAAATTTAAGATAGTGAAGAAGGGGAAAATCACACAACTTGTTTTGGGATTATTTTGGATGGAAAGTCTGCTTTCGTAAAAATATTTGGCTGTTGTCGTTCAGGAGCTTTTCGGAGGTCACCCTGTTCTGTTTAAGCATCTGTCTCATTTGCCCAATGAGATTCTTTTGTCTGTGTTTGAAAAGCGTTCTGAAGTAACACATGACATTTCCATTGAAAAGGCTCAAGTACTTTTTGATTATCTTCACCCTCACAAAAAAAGTCTCAAAAATGTATTTATGAGCCAAAGCAGAATGATGCCAAAATAGTTATGAGGCAAACTATTTTGGCACCATTCTTTATCTGAGGCTAAAAAGTAATTAAGAGGCAATCCAAGTATACATACTGTAGGGACTGATAAAAAATCAAATAATTGGCTTAGAATTAAATCAGAATAATATATAATTTGAATATATTTAAATTATATATTATTCTGATTTTTCAGAGTTATTTGGAATACTTTCTTAGAGTTGGTGACAAGATTTAAAATTCAAAGCTAGATGTAAGACGTCAGCAGTTTTCTATTAGTATCTTGCATTTTGTGTTTTATATGTCAGATGTGTATTTGGCATGCAGCCTGATCCATTAAAATATCTTTCTAAAACAAGAAGCCCCATAGATTTAACTTCTGCCGCCCAAATGGACTCTACAATATCTGTTTTGGCCAGTGTGCAATGCCAAAGTTGCATAAACACTCGGTTTTATAGAATTCTGTAATTTTTTTAAGAGAAAAACAGATCGCTGTATACATGGGGAGGACAACAGCGCCAAGAAGGTATTTTATTATGTTTCTTCCTTTTCATGATCGATTGCTGTTATATGGAATTCTCAGTGTGGCAGCATTTTAAAAATGGTTCTCGGCCTTTTGTGCATCAGCTGGCAAAAATATTAGTCACCAGTGAGTTTCGTGACTACTCCTAAGGATCTTGAGTGATTTCTCGAATTGTTGCGGGGGGGGTAGTCAGAAATTGCAATCTTCTGCTGTGCTTGCAGCTCCATTATCAGGGTGATATCCTCCCATTTTGCACAAATTTTTGGGTGTAAAAAAGCTATGATTAGCTTGTATTCTTTCCTCTTAGAATAGCCTTTCGTTACTGCTCCTGAAGTTTTGAGTTTCTCTATGCTGAGCGAATTTTTCTGGTCCTCTAAAAACTCCTTCACATATTTATTCTTAATTTTCATGTCATTGCCTAGGCATAGTATTAGACAATAAAAATTCCTCAGTAAAGCCCTCCATAGTCTGGTCATAATTTCCTGCAGGCCCATTTCGTGGTCCTGTAAGTCACTACTTGCCTTTGCCAGCAAAAATTAAGCAATGAAGAATGTTAAAATATTTTCATAATCTGAGCGTTAATTCTGTGCCAAAAGATTTCTCAAAATGTCTTGTAAATTGTTTGCACATCCAGTTTGCATGTTGGTCGCTCCAGACATATTAATTTTCCGATGTATTTTCTTTAAAAAAAAAAACTCTGGTTAGGGATGAGAGGCATTCATTATCCTAGGTTCCATTGTATATTTTAGGAACTGGAATTTTTTCTTTTAAAAGGATTTTATTTTTACATAGTGCAACTCCCTCCCCCTTTCGCTAATAATGCATAAACTAGATCATAGACACATTTTTCAATTTCAGACACTAATATGTCTTTAATGTGTTTAGACGTTTCTCTATAGTTTTTTTTTTTTTTTTTTTCCTTAGGTATGGAGCTCGTATAGTGCTGAAAGAAAAGAGAGATCATCCACTTGGAATCATAAAAGTTATCCACAGGATACACTTAGGTTTGAATCCTGAAGTAATGGCTTTGTTAATTGAGGCTTGTGAAGAATTCGACGTAAATTTTATTAAACAGTCACAGCAGATGAGTAATGAACACAGGGAATTATTGCTGAACAGAGCTCTTCAACCATTTCCTCTTATGCACCTGGCTAGAATTGAACTAAGGAAAAATCTAGGATGGGGTCCTCATTTTATCGAAACTGTTCAGAATCTTAAAATTCCAGAATACTTGAAAAGTTATGTTTTATTTGATAAGTAAAGTGTGAAATCTGCTTGTTTGCTTCACTGCAAGCTTTTTGAAATATAATCATTGTTGTTCATTGTGCTCAAGAACTGCTCTACGTGCTGCATAATCAATTCATCCTCAGAATTTTCAAAAATCAATGAGTTGCAGTTAATGAAATATATTCGTAAGAATGCAGTCTTTGCTGCTCAGTGTAGAATACATTTCATTCCTTTTATTTTGTTTGTTTTATTAAATGTCTGTACTGTTTTTTTATCAAGTTTTTTTTTAAATATATTTTTATATTTAAAACCTGTGGATTCAAATGTAACAGATCATTCCAAGTATTAAAAAATGCAGATATTCCATAATAATTGGGAGCTATCTAAGCATTTATAATACTTTACATAGGGTGTTTGAGGAGGCTGATTCTTTAAATGTTGATATCTGATATTTATATCCGATTACAATATTTCTTAAAATGGGGTACAATTTTTGTGAAAACAATTTCAGCTCTGGGAAAAGAAGGATGTGCTGAACCGTATGCTTTTAATTTTTCGTGTTATCCATTTCCATAAAAATTTCTAAACAATGAAATATTAAGAAGTTAACACGAAGAATTCCATAGTTTTGTACGCAAAATCCGTCAATAAAAAATAAATGAATTTACTGGCTCAGATATGTTTCTGATTCCCTTTAAAGCAATTTTGATAAGTTTTTGAGCAGATTTAAGGAAGAATTAGAAAGCAAATATTGTAATCAGTTTTCATATAGGTAAAAGAACAGTCGTTATTATTTTACTATTTTGCCTTATAAAACCGACTTTGCTCTTAAATTTTCTGAAAATTGTTATGTTTATGTAAAAATAAGATTTCCAAGAATGGATAACCCATTATCTATTTTTAGAAACATGTCGTCTTAGAACGAAAAAGAGGAGAGTTCGTTTATAATGTCCTCAAATATTATAATTTTTTTTTTTTTTTTTTTTTTCCGGGTGTGTGTTCTACATCTGATATTTTCTCTGAGCTGAGAAATTTTTTCCAACCGATTTGACTTTACCATTTTTCAAAAAGTGAAGTTGCCTCTATCTATATAAGTTAAATAATAAATTCTTGTTTCGCTACACATTCATTTGCAAAATCTTGTGTAACACAGAGAGATTTTTATAGTTCTAAAATTCAAAATTATAAAGATCCCTTATAGTATGGAAGAAGATTGACTCAAAATATTATCATAAAACTATCCAAGATTGGTTTTATAAAATAAAATAAAAGATTTCGTGTAGACGGAAGAGAATGTTTATCATTAAGCTATCCAAGATTGGCATTATCAAATCCAATGTAGAAGGAAGACGATTTGTCTTAAAGTGTTTATCATTTAGCTATCCAAGAATGGCTTAAAGAAGTTATAAAAAAAATGGGTCTGGAAGGCAAAAAGTGCATTAGGAAAAAGATACTTTTTTTCCTGATGCACCCGTTTCCTTCCAGACCCTTTTTTTTTTTTGCGCCTCTTCTGTCTCGTTTTTTCTCTAAGTGGGAAAAAAGAGGTTTGTTTTTGAAGCCTCAAAAAATTTGGAGGACAAGCAATTCAGTTTTCGTTTCCGTGGCCTTCTCTTCAATACAGTTTGCTTGGCACGGTCTAGTGGCATATTGTTTGGGGTATTAGTCTTTTATATTATTCATGCTGGTATGCGGCGGAACAAAGCGAACTCCCAGATCATAAACGGCAATGGATGGAAACTGTTCTCCCGGATACAGCAGCCGATACACAGGTTGGTTTGGGACAACGCGTACTAATGGCTGGGTCAAAACACTGTAGACGTAAGCCAGGAGTTGATTGTTCTTTGGATTTTTATCCGCTAGACATAACACCTCTTCGCTCTATAGAATAAAACTCTCTGATTGTCCTCGGCAGTTAGTCTTTAGATCTTCCACTCTCCTGAATGCATAAGTTTCTTCAGAAAAGATGGTTAAAATATCCAAGTCCTCTTACTGGGTGTAGGAAAGAAGGGGTAGAATGTCCGTCGCATTTCAGAAGTGTGTTCCTTTATCGACGTAACATCTCACGGATAGAATTTCGTTATACAGGATTCGAATCATCGTGACAAGTAGTAAGGCATCTCTGAGAAAGATCTGAATTGAGTAAGAATTTTTATTCTATTCTATTCATCATCCATATTGCCGGGATGTTGCTGTTTTGACGCAACGTTTCCGGCTCTTGACACTTTGACCCGGAGAGCACATTACAGTGGGTGACGATGACAAGTGAAAGGAGGCTTGTTAGAGGGTAGAGAGGGTGACTGCAAGACGTCACAAGTGTAGAGAATTCAAACAGAAGCAGCCGAAGACCAGGAGAGGCGATGGCAGGGTGAAAATCTGACATATTCAGTTGTTCGTGATAAGTGGGTGGTATAATAAAGAGTTACACATAATACATTTCAATTTATTAGGTTAGAACAAATACATGAGATTATACATCAAGTAATAATATAGATAATTACATACAAATAAATAAAGTCTATGTAATATATACAGCGACGTTGCACTCATGATAAAGTTACGTTGAAAAATTTGAATATCGGGTGAGGAAGGCCGCGAGTGGTCTGATGTGTAATTTTTTCATGTCGCTCTGAGTGTAGGTAGCCCAGGCGGGCTATCTCCATTCTATACACCATTCCTCAATGGTGTAAAAATATCTCTGTTCTCCATTTTATACACCATTCCTCAATGGCTGGAATTTTCTCTTGGAGTTTCACTAATGCATGCTCCTAGCTATGAGACTTCACGGCAAGGGCCGTGTCGTCTGCATAACATCCGAGGTAAGTATTGAGATCTGTATCAGTGTTGGGAGAAGTCCTAAGATGTAAGAATAGATTATAAAATTTGGGTCAAGAATAGATCCTTGTGCTACTCCTGCCTTAAGGTATTTTGCCTCGGAGTGTTCATTGCCAAAATTTACAAAGAACTTGCGAAGTTTCCTATGAAGGAGTTGATCAATAGAATCAAATCTCTGCTGAAGTCTAAGTGTTGCTGAAGCTTGAGAATAAGCCCCTCGTGCCAGACGCGGTCGAAGGTTTTCGCCACGTCTAGCATGAGTAAGGCAACACTTTGATGTCTGAAAAGAGCAGATCCAATGAATTCGCAGAGGCGTACAAGCTGTTTAATCATGGAAGAGATTTTTACGGAAGCCAAATTGTTCCGGTGAGAGTTTATCAATATAAGGTTCGATTCTTTTGTAGATGACGTGTTCAAAGATTTTGCCTAGTCCTGGCAGTAGGCTAATCGGGCGATATCCTCGGGTTTGGTGACATCCTTTCTCGGCTTGGGCAGTAGAATGACTGTCGCAATTTTCCATTTGTCGGGAAAGTAGTTGTTTTCCAGGCTGGCATTAAGAATGCTGACGTACTTTGTGACAGTGTTGATAGGCATATTTTTAATTGCTACATTCGATATTTCATCATAACCAGGGGATTTCCGTTTTTTCATTTTTCTGATAATGTTCTTGACCTCAGTAGGCGAAGTATATTCTGTGCGGTTTTTGGCCCCGGGATCTTCCAACCAGTCTTTGATGAACTGCCGTGTATTATAAGAGAAGAGTGGATCACAAGGGTCTTGATTCGGTACGAACTGCTTTTCTAAATGCTCAGCCATGAGGGCAGCCTTTTCTTTGTATGTGAGCGCAATTCTGCTGATGCTATAAATTGGTTTGTTGCAGGGGGGTTTGCTTCTAATTTTATTATTTAGTCTATTTAATTCCTTCTTGACCCTTGGATCCCAAGAGATATGCCACCTCTTTCTCAGTCTGTTTCTCTGTTTGATCGTATCTCTAATTTCTCTAGGTAACCTTGTACTGTTCTTATCTGCTGGGATTTTCTTGGTAGCGGTGTTGTAGGCGCTAAGGATACTATTGTTAAGGATTTCAATTGCATTATCTATGTCTTCCTTGTTCTTAAGAGAGTTGATAATTGGGGGGGGTTCTCTAACAAATGATTGTAATACTGCTGCCAGTCGGTGACCTTTTTAAACTTGTTGTCATCGCATCTGTTGGTACCTAAAATAGCTATTACAGGCACATGGTCAGAGGTTAATTCAACTTTAACATCTAAATACATTGGTAAGTAAGAATTTTTAGTTCGCTCGCCTTTTATATACTGAAAGACCACGTGACCAATTTTTTCCCTAGACCAACTTTGCATACGTGTAACTTATGTGAACTTCTCAACAGAATTTTCTATTTTTTTATATTTTGTTATAACCTTCACTCATCTGGTATAAACATGAACTCCGAGAAATTTTCTACTATTTATATATATATTGTGAAAACCCTCACCAATCTTGTATAAAGATGACCTTCAAGAAATTTTCTCCCAAACCAATCTTGTCATTCTTTATCTCTTCCCCCCTCTTTCTGAGGAATATATAAACGGATCGCCAACGAGCTCTTCTTATTAACATGGGTTCAGGAAAGGACTTTCTACCACCCATCAACTGGTTCGTATCTCAGAATTCATACGATCGGCTCTCAGAAATAAACTTAGTATTGCTTTCTTCGTGCTTGACGTGGCGAAATCTTTTGACCGCGTCTGGCATGAAGGCCTCATCTATAAGCTCATACAACTGCATATCCCGAGAGAACTCGTCCTCATCCTGAAGTCATTCCTCGAAAATCGTACCTTCTCTGTTAGACAAGGTGATTATTATACTAATCCATATCCTATCGTGTGAGGGTTCGCCCAGGGTAGCATTTTAGGACCTATTATCCATATTAATTATGTTCACAATTTTCCAACCTTACCTGAAGATTACAACTTTCAACTGGCCTGTTACACGGATGACACCGCGCTTATACAGAAAACCTAGGAAGCCTAACAACGCTATCGCACAACTACAAAATAAAATGCAACAAGTGGAAGAATGGTGCAAGAAATGGAGAGTGAACATAAATGCAGACAAATCCCAAATTCTACTTATCAGGCGCTACAAGAAACTGGATAACATCTCCGCTACAGTGACTTTTATTTGGAAAACCAATCCCATTTGTAATCCAAGCTAAATATCTCGGCATCACCTTTAATCGAACTTTCACCAGGTCAACACACAAACATTACCAGGGGAAGAATCTTCGGAATTATGTGCAAGCTTTTTCACCTTCTAGCTGAATCCTCAGGTCTTAGCTTAAATGGGAAGAAGAGAATTTACACGGCGATCATAAGACCTATTTTTACTTATGCATCTCCAGTCTGGGCAAATGCCACACCGAACGATATTAAAAAACTACAAGTTATCCAAAACAAGTTCCTCAGTACTATCACAGGAGCTCCGTTTTACATCAGAAATAATAACTTTCACCGCGACTTGAAAATTGAATATGCGAAA